TAGGGTCTCCCTAGAACTTAGGACAGAGGTTCCTCCAGGAAGCTTTCAGCAAATCAGATGTGAGGCAAAGCCTGCAGGAGCTCTAGCCCCCACAGGACCAATGCTACTCTGGCTGCCTCGGAAGGCCAGGAGTCTCCACATCCTTCAGCCAAGTGCTGAGCAGCAGAGGTAAGGATGCGGGAGAGGCTTTTCCTGACACGACAGGCTCAGTCTCCGCTCACCCTGGAGATTTTGAGAAGACCGCCTGGGTCGAGGGGACAGTTTGGAGATGAGACCACTCGGGTCATCTCCTTGGAAGCTGCATTGGGCGTACAGTTTAGGTTTCTGCATCTTTACAAGATTCTTTCCAGCCCCTGCAACGTTGTTTAAGCCGATGCCCATTAGCTGAAGTAGTAAAATGAACTGTGGTGGTGAAACCATTTTTATTGACTAATCTGCAACAAAAAGTTTTTTTAATGTTTGTTTTATAAGCTTGTAAAAGGATATCTTCATAATATTTACAAATGTCCCTGGGTTGGATATCCATGGGCTGGGTTAGAAGATTCTCAAACTCCCTTGCAATAGGACAATCCTGAAAGACCCTGTATACACTAAAGGATTTAGCTTTCCATTTCCTAGAAGACGTTTAAACCTTGCAGCTTCGATATAAGCATATACTCAGCTCTCCTCAGGGCACATATATTTGATCATCTGAAATGCCTCAAGTATGATAACGTATGGCTGCTTTGCTAAAATCAAGAAGCAAACAGACTAAAACAGCCAGGGAGAATGTTATCCAACAACCCCACTGCTTTACAATCTTTTGTTCAGTTGTTTTTTCCAGATGAAAGCAGGCATGAACAAAAGAACAATACTGTTGGAAAGGAGGGGAAGCACAATCACTTAAGCCCTTCAGATATTAATCCGATGAATTAAAATTAAGTTAAGATGGCAACTCTATTGGAAACATGACAAAAACAGGATGTTAAAGAAAAAAATTGAGTGGAATCAACGAGGTTACACATAAGTAACACCTTAACATTAATAGAAATCTATTTCCCATCCTGACCCTGAAACCACTTCAATTAATTACTAAAATCTATTTACACTGCAACAAGATAAAAATCAATCTGATTGCTGGCACTGAATTCATTTGGCTACCCTCTCTACTATAAGGGACCAATGGGATCCTCAATCCTCCCAAACTCTCAAAGAGACATAGTTACCCTCTACCTCCAGAACAATGGCAAAGACAGAATCTGTGAGCCCCTGGGAATCAGGCCTGAGGGTGATGACAACATCCTTCAGGCAGGTCACAAACACCCAAGAGATAGGGAATTTTTCAGATAAGGACAAGCCAACTGGCCCCTCAGAAAGGTGCCCACTTCCGACTATTGCAGTCTCTGGGGATAGAGCTTGGTTAGTATATTGTTTTTGTTTGTTTGTTTGTCTTGTTTTGTTTCAAGACAGGGTTTCTCTGTAGCTTTGGAGCCTGTCCTGGAACTAGCTCTCATAGACCAGGCTGGCCTTGAACTCACAGAGATCCGCCTGCCTCTACCTCCTAAGTGCTGGGATTAAAGGCATATACCATCACTGCCCAGCTGGTTAGTATATCATAAGCTTGATTTTAGGTACCATCTTGTCCCACTTAGCCCAAAGACTTTCTGTGGTAAACAAGTATACAGACAAAAATCATCCCTGTTTTATTAAACCATTAAGGAACATAGTTAACAATGATGGAGTGGCTGGAAAGATTGCTCAGCAGGTAAAGGTGCTTGCCACCAAGCCTGACAACTTAAGTTTGAACCTCAGGACCCACAGGATAGAAAACCAGTTCTTACAAGTTGTCTTCTGATCTCTACACATATGCCATGACACATATATGCTCACATATATGCACCCACGCACAAACAGACACACACCAATAATTAATTGATAATTTTTAAATGATGGTAGGTAGAGGTAAAAGACAACAGCCTTTTATGAGTCCCTCTGTAGGTTGACAGGCCAGAGAGGCGGGCAGGACCCAGACCAACAGGACACTGTTACCATGAACTGTACTCGGCCTTAGGATAAGCACGGACTGGGAACCTACTTGGCTGAGCCTAAGCAAGAGGTTTAGTCTCCTACTGACAGTATCACTTCCTAATCCTGCTTGAGTTTGTCCTATAAAAGGTGAATAAGGTTGGGTGTCTGTGTTGTTTTTCAAATTTTCTTTCCCGAGTAGGGAAAGCAAGCACAGGAAATGGGTAGAAATGTGGAAAGAGCTCATGAGGTCAACTGCTCTGAGCCCACCAGTCTGATGTGTGCAGCTTCCAAGACTCTCGCTGCCGTCTGAACTACTGGAAGCAGCCTTTTCTCCCTTATACGTCCAGCAAACTCCTGCTCATCCTTCGTAGACTTGTTCAACATTGTATCCAACACACATCTGATGATTCCATTTCTCTGATACACCTCAACATTGTACAAACATGTCTTGTTATGCTTTTCATCCTTTGTTATAATATTGATTGGTTGGTTGGACTTCCCCTTGGAGTGTGAGGTTTTCAAAGTCAAGATGGAAGGGACCGAGTCCCATTCACCTCTGTATCTCTTGTGCCTAGCAGGATGACCAATGTAAAAGTAGGCATTTCTTATTACTGAATGAACACATATGGATGGATGGATTAATGGATGGGTGGATTAATGGGTGGGTGGTTTAATGGGTGGATGGATGGATGGATGGATGGATGGATGGATAGATGGATGGATCATTTTGCATAGTTCAAATATCTGCTGCTTTGTTGGATGGACTATATGTTGAAACACAATCTTGCTAAAATGCCCTTACTCACAGTCTCTGTATACTGAAATATATACCCTTTGTTTTAATTCTCATCAACTTGATGAAATGAGAAGAAAGAGTCATTAGAATCCTAGAGAGTTCACGTTATTCAAGAGGATTATTCAAGTATCCTATACTATGGCCACCTTTCTCCTGGTTATGGGAGCTTGCTGATAGCAAGATCTTGGCATAGATACTAATAGAATTCAGATGGATGAAACCACAGGGTTTGGAAAGACTACTCAGGTTACTCATATCTTACTTTACTGATGAGAAACTAGGCCCGAAAATATCATCTCATGTCTGAGCTTGCAAACCTTGAGCCATGATCAGTGTGTAGCTTTCCTGACTTCCATTTTCCAAACATCAGCCATGCAACCCAAGAGAGCCTCCTACAGCACAGACACTGACCTTGAAAGTAGCCTTCTCCACCAGCTAGACTGAGCTGGGCAAGGTGTGCCCATGTATCTGGCAGCTCCCAAGAAAGATAAGGAAAAGAGGGTGGACAGCTGGCCACTACTTACTTGAAGGGCTTTTCTCCAGTGTGTGTCCGGATGTGGTTGTTGAGCGTGGTGGCCCCAGCAAACGCACGACCACAGTAGCCACACTTGAAAGGCCGGTCACTGGAGTGAGTGACCACGTGGTTCCTCAGTTCTGATGGCTGGGAAAAGGACTGGGAGCAGTGGCCACACTGGTAGGGTCTGAAACAAATAGAGAGTGACTGGCCATGGTGTCCTATGTCAATCCCCATGGTGAGAAAAGGGGCTGTTACTTTAGACTCAACACGTTTGAAAGACGGAGTTTACAGCGCTGGCCTCTGAGATCTACAACTTGCTGTCCCAGGAACAAGACTCTCAGAGCTGATGAGACACGTCAACTCACAAATGAGCATTCCCTTCCTGAATGAATCATACTGTTTCAAAAACAGCTATTTGCTTATCTCAATCTCCCTAACAGCAAATACCAGCATATTTCTGTGAGCTTTGTAGACATGAGCATGGGATTAATTAAGCCAAACAGTACAAAAGAAAATACATAATTGTCTTTTATGGTTCCACAGTATCCTTTACTTTCTAAAAGCGCTTTAAAGTCAATTATCTGGTTTAATCTTTACAGTAATCCTCTGAGTGGGACAGGGAAAGCAGTTGCTATTACCACGGACTTGGCAAAGACAACTGAGGACAAACTGTCCTTCAAGGATATGAGACATTGATGCCAAGGTCATGACAGGGTGTTTGAACCTTATTCCAAGTGTCAGGGAAAGACGGGCAAGTGGCCAAGTTGCATGCACACTTTCATAAATACTAAACTGGCCAGGGGTCTACCCAAGATGAAGACAGACCTGCCAGATGCATCTCTTTGAAAAAGAAATCCCGACTTCTCACCTATCCCATTTATACAGAGTCCTGTTCTTTTTTATTTTTTAATGTGTATGTCGAGTGTCTGATGTACGTAACCACATGTGCATCTGGTACTCATGGAGTCCAGAAGAGGGTGGATCTCCTAGAACTGGAATTACAGATGGTTGTGAGCTGCCATGTGGGTTCTGAGACCCAAATCCAGGTCCTCTGCAAGAACAGCAAGTGCTCTTAACCACTGAGCCATCTCTCCAGACCCAGGAGTCTTGTACTTGAATCTTATCTCCTCTGTTGACTCTAGTTGCAAGGAATGATTTATGGCAACAAGAAATGACAGATGCCTCTGTGCCTGCAAGGAGGAGACAGTGGTGCACAGGCCAGCAGGAGGAAGCTGAGAGGAACACCTGATAACTAGCAAGATTATCAGAGCACACACAGCTCATGAGAAGTAAATCAATTTTGAGTTTTCATAAAATAGATTAAAATTCGTCAGAAGTTCTTCTGCGTACTTAAGCGGAATCCAGTGAGTGATAGGAAACCCAAGGAGTTGTCCCTATTCAAAGTTACCCAGATCATCTCTGGACAGGGCTCTAATTTGCTTATCAAAATCCTTTTTCAGGAAATTAACCATCTGCCTTGAAGAATCCTCTCTGCACTCACTAAGTAAGGCCTGGTTTGGAGCACAGACGCTGTTGGCTGCATTTAGGAAGCCAATGGCAAAGGCAGACTTAATTGCTCTGCCATTAACAAATACAGAAGCTCCAATGACCAAACACCAAACTGAAGGGCTGGGAGACAATGGTGACCGAGCATGTACAACAATTCAATTAAGTGTAAAATAAAGTGTACCCTCTCATTTGTCAACTGAAGTGCTTAATTGCGGCTACTTGCCTCGCTGAACACAAATACTATTATTTTACCAGGCTTCAGCACACTGAGCACTGATTGTAGAATTTTTTAGCTTGATTAATAGTCCAGCATTGGTCAATAACTCAATACTATACAATTTTAATTACTTACATTTAGAAATCTATCTAACTGCTCTCAAACAGGTTTCAAAGAAATACATAAGAGCCCTTGGAAAGGAGTTTATCAAGCCTGACAAATTACACATGCATTTTATTATAATTATAAAATAATGCTTTGAAGGCCATTAAAATTGCCTACAGAGGAAAATATCCTCCTAGCAAATCTATTCTTGGCAGTAAATGTTGACCTTAAAAAGAGTTCTCAAAAAATAGTTCTCTGGGGATGAAATTTTTTATATGCTATTGAGGATCATAAACAAAATAATATATTAATATGTGCTATATTCACTGAAAATTGATTTTTCTAATAGTGAAGGGACCATTAACATTTATTAGCCTCTGGTTATCTATTTTTAATAGCTATCACTATAAACAATAAGTCACTAAATAAAACCAATTAATCTTTTCCTTTTTTTTTCTAACCCTTCTGTCAAAAGTTGGGGTGATTTATTTCCTGCAGTCAGAAGTCAACCCATCCTTTTTATGCTGATAGTCACTGTGGCAAAGATTCACAGAACGGATGTGAAAGGTTGATGTTGAATTCTTTCATCAAGGGAAGAGGGTTAAAACTTTAGAGCATCATTTCTGCCCAGGACCAGCCAGAGAGTACTTGATCCAGTGGTCTCTGTGAACTGTCTTTAAAAGTTATCATTTAAGACGCTTGTGTGTGTGTGTGTGTGTGTGTGTGTGTGTGTGTGTGTGTGTGTGTGTGTGTGCGCGCACGCGCATATGCATGTGTGTGCAGTGCACGTGTGCATGTATGAATGTGCATGTGTGTGCGTGTGTATGTAAATGAGTATGGACCATTGTTATGTACCTGTGGTTGCCATCAAATCACCTGAAGTTGGAGTCACACTCAGCTGTGAGCTATCCAATATGGGTGCTGGGAACCAAACTTGGGGTCCTCTGGAAGAGCAAGTGCTCTCACCCACTGAGCCATATCCTCCAGCCACTAGGACTCAGTTTAAAAGACTACATGGAACACAGAACACAGCTTGACCAAACAGAAGCGCCTGGAATAAAAAAGGGGAGTTCGACTTCAATCTCCAGTTCTAGCAGCTATGGGATGTTGACAAGTCGCTCAGCTGCACTGACCTCTTTCTTCACGTTCTCTGGGAAAGGGGATAAATTCACCTGGGTGCGCTTCAGTTTTATGTTCTTCTATTTTCAGAGTTTCCTTTAAAAAAAAATGAGTAAAAGAGGCCAGACTGGGCATTCAGGCCTGTAAATGCTGCCACTTGTCAGACAGGAGGAGTGGAAGTTTAAGACCAGACTGACTGGTCGACTAACTGTCTTTTAAAAAAAAAAAAAACAGTAAAATGGCTGAGAATATCCGTGAGTTCAACCTCCAATACTCGTGGAGGAGGAGAAAAATGATTAAAAAGTAATTTTAAAATTGATCGGAGTTAAGATTTAAATACAGATATATAGGAATACATTAAAAACAGAAACAGATACTTTCTAGGGCAAGTATCTCAGAAAGTATTACAATTCCTTATGGAACTGGACACAGGAGTTCAGAATATGGGTGTATATTTCTAAAGCCTTATTTCAAGTTACACCAGAGGAACTTCAGAACACAGAGTGAGCTGCCATTATCAACATTTTCCCTAAGTTTTTGGAAGGAGGTTGTGTACGTGGCTGTGCACGTGATAGCCTAGGGTCAGCCATAGGTGGTCTTCTCGTCTTTGAGGCAGCCTGCCACTGGTACCCAGACTCACTAAGAAGGCAAGGCTTCCGTCTTTCCCTCCCTAGCACTGAGATAGTAGTGTGTACCACCCTGCCCAGCTTTTTATGTGGGTGCTGATGAGAGAACTCGGGGCCTCATGCTGGCATGGCAAACCCTTAACCACCCAAAACCCAGCATCTCCATTCGTTTCCCAAAGTCTGGCGAAGTTAAAGTGATCAGACTCTTGGATAGAATCTATCTTAACTCGGAAATCACAGATCCGTTTGATGTAGCGTAGCAGGAAAGCACATGTGGACAGACAACTGGGTGTTTATGGACAGACATCCGTGGGTGTTGATCTCCACTGGGTCCAGGATCTTACATCATTGCATTTGGGAAGCATATTTCAAAAGCCCTTGGTTCTCCCAATTCATCATGCACGTACAGCCTCCCACCATTTTCAAAGCAAACCCAGAGGAAGGACACCTCACAGTGCACAGCTCTGTGTGACTGGGTGCTGGGGTGGGACCTAAGCAGGGAGATCAAGAGTGGAGATTGCCCTGAATCAGGTCCTGCAGCTACAAGGAGCAGTTGAGCAGTGAATACTGACTAGTGCAACTGAGAAACTTTCAATTACTGACTAGTGCAAGTGTTATTTTTGCTTAATTTCCATTAAGAGAGACTAAAACGGCTTTGCATGGCCAGTTCCCACACAGGAAAACTCAAGCTTTGTGGAGAAACTAGAAAGCGCTACATACACATTTACAAAATAATTGGGAAGGACAACGTGCGGGTGGATTTACTTAGCATAAATCAACACTGGTAGACTTTTACGCAGAAAGAAAGCAGTGAGACCATTCGGTTCATCTCCTAACATTCTCCGTCACTGGTAGCTCCTCTGCCAAAGATTACACCAGTAAAATGTGCAATTCATTTGCTTTGAGTCTGTAATTGGTTTGGTGTACATAGGAAAAGAATGAAACGTTTAACAAAATTAAGTGTGGCTTGGTTTAAAAAATTATTAATCCTCCTTTGATTTCTTTTTTACAGCCTGAAGATCCTCTAGCATAAAAGTTGCTCACTTGGGGCTACATTCTCTCCTTGCTCCATGAGAGACAGCCTCAGCTCAAATCTCACAAGGCTTTCAAGGGGCCCTGCTTAAGTCACGGCCGGCCATGTGGAGGCGGAGGCTGCCTCTGAGCAAGGAGAGTCAGGGAAGCGGTGAGTCCATAGACCACTGGAAAGAAGAAAGGTGGCCTTTGCACACATAGCAAGGGGCAGACACTATGATCGTGTCGCTCGCCAAGCTTTTCCCACAAAACAGAGCCTTTGAAACTCCTTTACCCGCCTAACACCATCCTTTTCGATGGTAATCAATGGTACTTAAACACAATTGTGAACAGCTGATGGCGTGCCCACGCGGCTAAAGGCAGACTTCCTCCCATGTGGCACAAACGAGAGAGAGAGAGAGAGAGAGAGAGAGAGAGAGAGAGAGAGAGAGAGAAAGGTGTGGAGAAAAGAGAGCCAGAAGAAAAGAAAAAGTGGTACAAAATAAAAGTGTATTTTATGAATACACTTTCTGTGAAGACCAGAACATGCAGAAAATAATTGACTGTGATCAACGGCTTTGCTCACCCATTCCTAGAGTCCCCTCCCTCCCAACCCTATTGAGAGTTTCTGCAGCAGAAAAAGAGGAAAGAAAGGGGAAGTTGCTCCTGGACCCAGCAACAGTAAGCCAAGTTGCCCTGGCTTGGGGAATTAGCTTACATAGAAACACGAATGCTTACAAACTGTGTACATAGAGTCTTGGTTGGTCAACCTTCCAACAGCTGCTTACCTATGGCTCACCCAGGAGTGCGAGCAGGAGTTGGTAGCCTGAGAAAAGGAAGAAGATGGAGGATCTGTTGGCTTAATATCCACAGAATGAAGTTGAGAGAAGGAGCAATCCATGACTCTTAGACCTTCATAGATCTTTTTTATCTTTTGTTCTGACTCCTACTTTTGCCAGACCCAGCTGATTTTTCTCCTCCATTCATTATGTGTAAGTCAGAGACGAGAAACAACACCGGCACCACTGGGTCGCCACAGACCTTGCCTCTGCACGTTTGCAGGGCACCCACAGGAAAAGGGTCACAGATACAGAGCACACCTTCTCTTGATGAAGATCCAAATGTCCGACCTTTCGTTGCCAAAGAGTCAAAGCATTTGGACCACAGTGGCAGGGGCCTGTCCCAGATTTGTACCTGTTCACCTTCAGACTTTGTCTTCTGACCTCTCTTTCTAGTAAGATTTTCCTGATAGTTTTCAAGGAGAAGGAAAGAGGTCTCTGTTAATGTGTTTTATTGTTCAGTTGGCCTTCTCTACACGTGGGTCTCTAATTAACAGATTCAAACAATTAGAGAGAAAAAAAACTACTCCAAAAAAAAAGTAACATGCCTGCACGGAATACGTGTAGACTTTTCTTGGCAGCAGTCCTAAGCAATACAGAGTAAAAATTATTTACGTGGTCTTTACAACAGGGTGGGATATTGCTACGAGTGATTTAAAGATAATTTAAAGTATATAGGAGCATCTGCATGGTCATTTGCAAATCCCACATCCTTTAATATAAGGAACTTGAGCATTTTTATGCTGGGAGGGGTTCTACACAGGTGTGAGGGACATCTAGCTACAGATGAGTGAGCACAAACCACCAAACACAAGGCTCAGCTGTGAAGCTAGTCACCAAAGAATGTACGTAGTGGTGTGTCTCCACACAGAGAAAGGTAAGTTTCCAAACTTGGCAACCATCCTGAACAAATGTGATGTTCATATCACATTTGTGGAGTTCTGGACATTGCTCTGATTTAGCTTTTCCTTGTGTGGTTAGGAATGTTGGAGGGTATCTCCCTGTCTCCAAAGTCTTATAGGATAAAAATAAATTCTTCATCTAGAATAAAATTAATAGATAAAAAGACTAGGCATCTCCCTCTTTTTCATCTTCAAAAATTGTCTCAGATTGATGACATAATTCAACCCCCTTCCCCTGCATTGTTACTAAGAAACATTGTACTGTATTACACTGCCTTCAAAGAGTCTGGTTTTTCTCAAGTCATGATATTCTTAACTTTAACTTATTAATGACTGATGGCAACTCCCTCTCATGTGTTCACAAACAAAGCGCAGGGAAGAATCAAGAACCCACAGGGTTTCTTTCATACCACCTGGGGATTTACTAGTCACATTAAATTTGCTTACAATCACCGCTGACTTTCACAATCTCCCCTGGAGGTATTTTGTTCACTAAGCTAATTGTTTAGATAGTTTTTATAGATGTATTAAATTACAATGCTAGTATTTTACAGGACAAACTTTAGAGAGACTTAACCCATGCACATGATTTTCTGGGTATAACTCAGCTCACACAAAACAGACTGTTGTCATGAAGTATCTGTTTACCACAAAACATCTACATTGCCTCTGGGACATGGCATGTGAAATCCTATCACATCCAAAAAGACAGAAACTTTGTCCTGTTTTTTCTTTTTTGTTTTTTTTAAAGGAATGCCCAGTGAGTGTCGCCCCTATACTCTTGACATCCTTGTAAGCAAGCAAGTTAAGGGCAGGGTTCTTTTTTAAAAAACTTATTTAAATTTATTTTATGTGCATTGGTGTGATGCTGTCAGATCCCCTGGCACTGGAGTTACAGACAGTTGTGAGCTGCCATGTGGGTGCTAAGAATTGAACCCAGGTCCTTTGGAAGAAGAGCTAGTGCTCTTAACCGCTGAGCCATCTCTTCAGGCCCCCTATTTTCAAACTTACTGCGCACGATCCCTTTACTACAGTATCACAACAGTCTTTGCAAATAACACACCCTTACACCTGAACTCACTTTTTATGAGATTTTAAATGCATCTTTGGTCTTAAAACGATGTGTAAGCTAAGAAGGACACATATTGGGCTATATGGATGCCTGCGGACTTTTAAGAAAAGCCTTTCTGCATGGGAGAGAAAAAAAACGCACTCCAACTTTTACATTTTACCTCCACGCACAAATATGGTGCCCGGCACCTAGACTCAGATGCCTTTGCACTAAAGTAAATGTTTCCATCTTGATTAGTTACAGTAACGCTTGAGGGTAAGCAACCGGTTTCTAGAACGACACAAATAGAAATGTGAACAGATGTAAAGGTATACAAAGGCCCCGAATCTAAGTTTAGAATATATCCACCCCTTCTGCCACCCTCTCACCCCCTTGTCCTTTACTCGGATCTCACAGGCACACCACTGTATGCTGCAGAGCTCAGAGGGAGGAGCTGACTGTATGTGTTAAGAGGCAGCGAGTCAGGTGCCCTGCTTTGTTAAGGTTAATGAGTAGCAAAATTAAGTAAACAATTTAGGCACCCTGCTTCCAGATGCCCAATCCTAGCACTCAAGAGTTATTTCTCACTTTTATATTCCAGGTGAATTTTTTTTTCTAGGTTGTTCTTGGATATTTTGGTTTTAATCAAGTTCTCGCAGGACGTGAAGGAGAGATAAAACAGAGACAGCCTTCCCATTGAATTAATTTGATCTTTGTCTTTTGCGCTCCCAGCGATCAAGACTGTCAAATAAACCAGTTTTGATTCATAAATAATAGTTCCATTATATCTACTGGGCCACTCGTCAGAGTACCTGAAATTTTAATTCACTTGTTCAGCTAAATTTCATCCTCAGTTCATGGCCATAAAATTCCGTATTGACAAACTTTCAAACCAACTTTGACTCTGACGTATCTAGTCAACATTTTTCTTCTGTGTGGATATTAGTTTATTGAATAAGTGGCATCTGTTTTCCTCCACATCACTAGCCGAGTGGGTATTTCCTTTTGACAGGTTTGCAGGATTTATGGGTTTGCATGCTCCGAAGAAAAATAGTACTAAGCAAAAAAATCCAATTCATTACCTCTTAGTACTTAATTAAGTTCATACTCACGGCACACTGGAGGTGAACTCTGAAATGCCTGCGACAGTCGGCCGGCAGCCAGCTATATTATCTTTGGAAGACAGAGGGGATTCTGATTATCCTGACCTCATTTTCCACCCCTGATATTCATAAACGCTCCTTCTCTCTTGCTCCCTTTTAAACTTGGACGTTACTGTTTGGGTAGTGAGCCTGGAAGCCTCTCAGCAGCCACCAACCTGTCTGTGCAGTCATCAGAAACGATGGCAGCACCCGCTGAGGCCTAACACAACTCGGGGTGGGACCTTCCAGCCAGCGGGCAGGCAGCTGTCAGCAGGCAGCTTTCCCCCCAGGTGCTGCAGGATGCCCTGGGCCTCACCTGTCGGGGTTCTGTGTGCACACGTGCATCTGCAGGAGGATGCGCTGTGTGAAAGTCTTAAAGCACTGGCCACATTTCCAGAGGTGCCAGTCGCTGAACTCCGAGTGCAGCTGGCTGGTGGAGGTGGGACTCGCCAGGACCCGCTGGTTCTTCACGTTGATTTGGTTAAATCCCGCCTCGATGGGCCCAGATTTATCCAAGAGGGTGAAACTCCTGCTGCAGGGAGTCTGGGGGAAAACCACTGAACGCTGCTGGCCGGAGGAAGAAAGCTTACTGCTCTTGTTGAAGGACTGCAGGGCGTCTTGTCGGCACATGGCTTCCATTACCGTGGAAGGGACGTTCACTGGAACAGCGAGAGTGGGAGAAAGTCAGTTTCGCCAGCCCTTAAATAAACACACTAGCACATACTTCAAAACATCCCTATTTAACAAGCATGCAAAATTATGTTTTTCTGGCCCCCAAATTAGTATAAGAAGGCCATTTGAGGGGAAAATCAGGCTTATCACAAATTAATAACTCATCCAATGCCAGTTTCTTAAACAACTAGTATATGCTCAGCGCTGTTCTGGTATGCCCTTTGCCTTCAATGTTCACCCAATTCTGACTCAAGATATATGGGACTCCACACTGCATCCTGCTTAGAGGCTTTCAGATATAAGAGACAGAGGGTGAGCCTGTGGTGCCCAGAAATGGTGGGTTCCACTGCATTAGAAAGGGAATGCCAAGGCCTCCTACCAAGCCTTTCTGAAACAAAACAGGTATTAGCCATGGAGCTGACTGAAGAACTAAGAGAAGAAGTGCTACCAGGAGACAGGAGAAGCCTGGCAGGTTAGGATAGAGCAAGGGAAATGGGCTGCCACAAGGGGAAGAAGGGAAATGACAGACATCCAAGTGCCCTAAATTTACTTTGAAAACTATTTAAGACCCAGGTAATACGCACAGGCTGGTTTTGAACAGAGCAGGGTTAAAACCACTCAGAAGATTTTCAGGGAGGGCTTGAGAGAGGCATGACTGACAGACAGCTAGAGCAAGGGGCTGGAAACAGCTGTGATGCTTGAAGCTGAAGTTCTGACATCAAGGCGGTCCAGGCTCCTGTCTTGACTCTAGCTTTCATTAACAATGGTGATCTTAGGCAACTCATTACGCCCTTCGGAGCCTCTTTCCCCATAGGTATAGTAAGGACAGTGGTAGTGGTACTTCTAGAAATAATAGACTCATGGCTTGGTGATTGAAACAGTCTAGACTCTAACTTCACCATCTCGTGTCATGGTGACTGTGGGGAGGAGAGGAACACCCAACCCCAACCCCATGACGTAGTCCTTGGGAAAGTATGGAGTGCTCACTCGGAGGACTGAGTGAGCTAATGCATCAGTGGCTTTTAGGGATGAGGCCAACACCCCCTAGCCACAGAGCCCTGGGGTCTGGTGTCCTCATCTTTCTGTTGCTTTGAAGGAAGTTAAGGTGTGATATCCAAGAGTTCATCACAAGGCCCAATGTCGACCATGGTCACCATTCTTTGGGGGCAGGAAAAGGCGGGATTAGAAAGAGGGAGATGGTCCTTGCTGTGGGGGGGGGGAGTGGGACAGAAGGAGGACCTGTACAATAAAAGGTTTCTTTAGGCGAGAAATCTAAATCCTTGAAGTTTATTGTGCCTTTAAATTTTCACTCCATTTTACTTCTGACAGGGTACCATTCAGTAGCCTAGGCTGGCCTTAAAGTGATCTGCCTGCCTTGGCCTCTCAGGCAATAGGATTTCAGTCAGGTGTTAGCCCCTACTCCTGGCTTCTTTTCTCAATACTTTACTGTGTTAGCAACATTTATCAAGTATTAACTGGTCATTCCTTGGGTATAAGGGTGATTAAAATCAATGCAAAAGACTTAACCTTTTTAAAATGTAACTACTCTGATATATATATATATATATACATATATATATATGTAAAATTATTGTCATTTCCGGAGTCAAAGAGACCATACAGTAGTAGTCAGGAGGTTAAGGTGAATGGTGCCACATGCCTTTGATCCCAGCACTCAGGGAGTGGGGGAGGTGGATCTCTGTGAATCCTAGGCCAGCCTGATTGCATGACAAGTTCTAGACCAGCCAGGGAAACACAGTGAAAGACCTTGTTTCTTGTCCAAAAATATGCAAAACTTTAAAGATGATTGGCAAAGACTGGTGATGGGAAGAAACAAAGCCACGCCTGCTATAGTTGTCGATACGGCCACTGGCTCAGAACCATGGCGGGAAACAAACCGGAAGCTCTTGTGTCCTCCTCACCACGGCCATGGATAAACTTCCTTGACAAGATTAGGCTCAACTCTAGAAGACAGCCGTAGAGGCGTGGGAACCAGGAAGCTCTGGAAGGAGACAGGTGGCTCACACATGTGGGTACAGTGGTGTCACCTGAAGTTCTTCAACAAATCTAACACAGGGAGCCGTCCTCCGTACAGTGAGTGAAGCAGAGCTTGTCTCAGCCCAGACAAGACTCTCCAAGTCCTGGGACGGCCCTGGAGCACTGCGCACTGGTTACTCAGCAGTAGTTTTACAGAGGGTTTTTAAAAATCAAATGAGTCTCCCAGAAAGGCTTGAGGTGGAGTCGGGGCAGAATCACTAAGTTGACCCTCCCTCGTGACAGGTGGCAAAACAGTAGCCCAACAGCACCCAGAGGTTTGCTTGGCATGGCGTGTCAGTGAAGGGTAGCCCTAGGCTATAGTCTGTAGCTTCCTACGTTCTGGCACATTTCATTTTTGATTCCTCTGCTCACTAACTGTGTTTCAGATAGAGGAAGACCACTTTATGGGTTGTACAGTGATTTGTGTATGTGCCATATACACCAAACTATACGTGTTACATATATGGGTATACCTGTATTTAAATTATGCAGCGCCTATATTTCATATATATAAGACATGTATCATTTGACCTCCTGAGGCGAAAAGCAATATGGAGGAGTTTGTAGGCGCTTTTTAGACTTAAAAAAAAAAATCTTTGTGTTACGTCTTAAGCAGACTCTAAAAGATAAGGGGAAACGCTTTGCCAATTTTAATAAAAGATAAAGACAGGAGCGCTGTCGGAGGTCAGGTTGGAGCCCATTTGTTGGCATTTCCATCACTGATCCAGGAAAAGCAAAGCACAGAGAAACTGTTAGTCTCCAGACAACAGTGAGCCCTTGCCAGCCGGGCCACTCCAAAGGAGCGCAAAGAGGAAAGATGGTAGACTCCCGAGACTGTGAACACACAGGAGAGCTGCGAACCTGGCCCAGGCTTTTTAATTTTAAATCCTTAAGGCCACACAATCTTTAGATAGAAAAAAACAGATTCATGGGCCCATGGATTTTTATAAGTTTAATGATCAATGTCAAGAAAAAAAAATCAAATTTATATATCTAAAAATTTGCAGAATAATCAGAGATATATGTGCCTGGGTGACTGTAGTATAATAAACAGCATTTGGGTAGTAAAAATGAAGATGACTGGAATAAGATTATTCTCCATTTATTATTTTATTTCTTGGTACATCATAACACAAATCTGAAACACGTCCTGGCTGTAGGTAGCAGCAGGCTCCCTATGCCGCCCTAAGCGTGAGCCTCCATCGTGATTATAAAGTAGTTCAGTCTTACTAAATGAAACTGAGCACATGATTTACAAGAGAGAAGAGACAGAATGAAAATTTTTCACCAAAGCGATCATACTTGAAGCCCAGCTGCTCTGTGGAGCCCTACCACGTCCACACCTCGCTCCATGTACAGATGTTTGTTTTGAGAGCAGAACATCCTCCCGAATGTCAGCCTCCCTGGCCACATCAAAAAACACACTAACTAAACAAGAGAACGTATCAGCCGGAGACAGGGGGTAAATCTTGGAAACGCTGCCTCATGGAAACCCAGGAGAAGTGGTTTAGACAAGGCCTGAAGACAGGTCACTAACATAACCAGAAACATGGTGGCTTCCGCATTCCGGGATGCTGAGCTAGAGTCTCCTTAGACTATGAAAACAAAGATTAAGAGGAAGGGGGTGCAGTCTAGAGCCTGGAAGGATGGAATCAAGCAAAGACACTAACTTATCACTTATCTGGATAGTTAAAACGCTGGTCACATCTGGATAGCTGAAGTACTGAGGGGAGGAAAATTCAGCATCCATGAAATCAAGTCTTACTTCAGCCCACCTGCGAAATACCTCCTGAGCATCTACTCCGTCCTGACTGGTGGGCACGTAGCAGGACAGGAGAGCACACTGTCCCTCGTGCTATGACAGACTGACAGACAGTCACTCACTCGGCTTCAATCCTTTAACCCTATTAATTGAATCATTGTAACTGTTGGCCTTGACACGCAGCGTTAGAATAGGAAAACGCATCTGTTTTCGAAGTGACATAGTCCAGGACTGCAAGGAAGAAAGGATGCTAGAAGTGGGGTATCTGAGCCCTGAAGGGACACGTGAGAGAGTCGGTCAGCCGAGGGAGCTGGCACAGCAGCAGCTCCATCCCTGCTTGTGACGGGAAGGACCTGAGCAGTAAAGGACCTGAAAATGTGTCCACACGGCAAAGGAGGGGACAGATGGCAGGCCGCACCTGTGGGAGCTGCGCCAGGACTGGAAAGGTTCTGGGGACCGGGGGCCTGGGGTCTATAGCCCACTAGGTATAGCTTAGCGAGGCTAAGCTCTCGGGGTCTTGAGGTGACTAATATCTTAGTCCAGTTCAATTTGGGGTTTGAGGCCGGGCCTCCTTAGACCGTCCTGACCCGCCTGGAACTTGTGACCGTCTTGCCTCTGCCTCCTGAGTGCTAGGATTACAGACATGTGCCACCACATCCTGCTGGATTTTAATTAAAACCCCAGGTGTGGCGATGTAGCTCGGTTAGTAGAGGGCTTGCCTAGAGTAAGCAAATCCCTAGGTCCCATCCCCAACACCCCCATAAAACTACGTATGGTGGCACATGTCTATAAACCCAGCACTGGGAGGTGAATGCAGGAGGGTCAGAAGCTCAAGGGTCATCCTCAGCTACACAGCGAGTTTTGGACAGCCGGGGCTACATGAGAGCCTATCTGAAGATAAATTAGTATGTGAGCTGGAGACTACATGGGGCTCATAGCATTCCATATTAAAGAGCTACTTATTTAAGGGAAGAGTCCTTGCAAGTCTAAAAGAGTTTTGAAGCAGAGCTCAAGGGGACCAGATGTCTGCTTTCAGGGTGTCATCAATCCACGGTGACCAGTGCGGACCCTACGCCGCCAGTACATTTGCAGAGAAGGAGATAGTGAACCAGACATGGTGGTGAAAACTTATAATGCCAGTCACTTGGGAAGCGGAGACAAGAAGATCAGAAACTAAAAGTCAACAAA